AAAAAAAAAAAAAAAAAAAGAAATGTTGAACGTAAGAGATGAGAATGGTTCTAAGTCACTGAACTAGAGTTTTAATCTAAACATATTTCTTGAGTTTTTAACTATTAAGAGAGAACATCTGGTAGAATAAACTACTATCCAAATGTCATTTTCAAAACGGGGGAAGAGAGCAAAAGAAAGGACCTAAACAACTAAAATATATATAAGTGAATGTAAAAGCTGGGTGCTCTAAATTACCATCTTAATGATGTGTTCACACAGAGACTCCATGTGATCCCTGCGTAAAACCGAGCCTGCCCTGTTTCTATCAATTTAATAAGAAAAAATATTAAGATGTGCAAAGGGTGAAGAAGAGCTGCTCTTTTAAGCAGAGTTCTTTTAAAGAGTGAAGATCACCACTTCCTAAATTTATTAACAAGTTTTTTGTGTCCTTCAGAGAGAGAATAAAAAGAGGGGTGGGAAGGCACAGAATAGGACCTTGAAATGCAACTGCAACAATTACTCAGGCAACCGGGCCTTTCTATGTGGCACTATACAAACCCCCTGCATACCAGAGTTTATACTTTTACAAAAAGAAGTCCTATGTCATCGCATGACACAGCCACTGCTTCCTTAGACCTTTTAGGAACTGAGGTCCAGGCATTTTCCCAAATCCCACAGAATTTCTACAATAAAATAAAGGAGCAAAGATGAAGCCTAGAATAACTTAAAAGAGTCATGGCAATGAGCTATACCAGATCTGAGTGATGAAACAAAAGGCATCAACACACGGACACACTCGATTTCACAGTGACGCACATGTACACGTAGCTGATCCGAGGCACAAGCTGTGACTTGTCATTAGAAAATGGAAGGTAAAATCCAGTTCAAAACCCACATCTCAGGACTTCTTGTCCTTTCTCAGCCCAAGTTGAGGTGCTTCATATCTGTGTGTTACACACATTTTAGATCTCCCCCAAGACTTAAGACTCGCTGTGGGTGCAGCATGAGGAAAAGCAGATGCTTAGCTTGATGAAGGGTGTTCAAGGTTCTGGTGCCATGCTTGCAGGAAGCTTTTCACCACAGGACAGCTGAGATCTGCAGCCACACAGAGGACTCCGGTCCTATGACCGCTACAGTTCAGTTTTCAAAATTCTGGAAATAACCTGATCATAGCCTTTCCTTCGTGTTACATTATAGGACAGGAATTTAGAGTATTCAGTCAAGAGTTTCTCCCAGTAACACGTGACATCATCCATCTGCAAGTGATTTATAATAAACTGGCTTCCCCTAGAGAAAAAAGTAACATGAATATTTTAAAGGATAGAATTAGTATAATAAATAATAGCTTCCATGTAAGTTGGCTATGTTGGAGCAAGCCTTATTTGGAGTTCTTTATACTGAACTGACTCACCTGACTCAAACCAAAAATATCATCGTATCCATATACTTGCATTTAGCAATAGAGCTTAGTATTTTTCCCTTAAAAACAGACATATTATCAGCCAGGGATCATCAGAAGTACTTACTTAAGCCAAAATTCCAGTCTATTTTTATATAGCTTGAGAGATATGTGAATGTATACATGTTTTTCCCCAGGCAGCTTTATTCTTGAATTATCTAGGTATCATGAGACAGATGTATAGATATTATCATGGTAATATTACATTACTTGAATATTATTATTCAGGTAACTTTAGCTAGGGCAAAATGGGAGTGGTAAACTGGGCATAGTGAAGCATACCCATAATCTCAGCCCTTGGGAGGCTGTGACAGGAGGACTGCGGTGAGTATGAGGCAAGTCTGAGCCCAGTTTGAGTTATGTATGTGAGTTCAAGGCCAGTCTGAACTACACAGAAAGACCCTATCTCAAAAAAAACCAGGTGTCGGGGCAGGGGTGACAAAATAGAAAAAGGAAAAATGAACAGAGCTTACCTTTCAGCAATTTCTTGAGCTATATCATCATTTGCTTTTACAAACTGCAAAAGTTCCCTAAAATGAAAAGAATTATTAGACCCTTAAAATTTAAGCTAAACTCATTAATACTAAGTCAGCAAAACCATAGATTAATCTCTAGGTATGTAGATGGTACATTATCTATTTAAGGTAAAGATATTAGGGTGCTTGTAGGAAAAAAACAATCACAACAAAAGCTTAGGCTGGGGGCATGGTAGCACATGCCTGCAATCCCAGGACTCTGGAGCCTGAGGCAAGACTTGTACTGCAAGTTTGAGCCCAGCCTGGGCAACTTAGCAAGGCCCTGTCTCACAATTAGAGATTTTGGACATATTTGAGAAAACACAGAAATGTTCAATGATATTCTAAAAACGCAAAAGTGAAATAGCATTTCTAACCTGTCTCTAAATTCTTTTCTTTTCTTTTTTTGTTTTTTGATTTCTTCAGACAGTGTCTCGATATAATTCCAGATGGCCTTGACCTCAAACTCACAGCAACCCTCATCTCAGCCTCTCAAGTGCTTGGATTATAGGCATGCATCACTGTGATTGGACTCCATCTCCAAATTCTTGGGCTAGTCCCTGGAAGAGGGAACTGGGGTCACATTTCTGGCCCTTCTCTGTATCTCTTCCTATGTTTTCCCACCATGAGAGGAAATTTAAGCTTTATGTGGGTCAGTTTCATGTTATATATGAAATCCCATTGATAATGTAACAGGATGAAATAGCCCTACTGTTACTCTTTGAGAGATCAGAGCCCTTTTTACTTCAGACTGTTACAGTGGAACCAGCCCGGAAGCACTCTTTCAAAGTAAATGCCACCACAGCTTGGGTGGATAAGAATGCATCACTATTCATATGTGCAAACCAAGTAAATAGGAATAAAACTTTCACTGGAACATATCATCAAGAGTAAATGCCTTAGGCCAGGGATTTAGCTCAGTGGTTCCGCTGCCTGCCTCGCAAGCGCAAGGACCAGAGTTCGATCCCAGGTACCAAAAAAGAAAAGAAAAGAAAAAAAAAAAAGCCAGGCGTGGTGGTGCACGCCTGTAATCCCAGTACTTGGGAAGCTGAAGCAAGAGGATCGCTGTGAGTTCTAGACCCGCCTGGGCTACATAGTGAGTTCCAGGTCAGTCTCAACTACATAGTGAGACCCTGTCTCAAAAAAACCAAAAAAAAAAAAAAAAAAAAAAAAAGAGTAAATGCCTTAAACGGCTGGATTTTGCAGCCAATTGCAACGTTTGAGACACTCCGTTGAAGGACAGCTACTTACTGGACATTGGAGAGATCTGTTTTGACTGGTATATAGTGAACCCATGGCTTCAGCTGTGGATAGAAGAATTCTACCCATGCACTGCCAACATGGAAAACAAGTGAACCACACAGGAAGAGGTGTTTGAAGCGGAAACTTGCAGCTACACCCCGAAAATTAAACAGATACCTGGAGAAAAAGAGCAAAATACATTTGGATACTTTATGTCTGTGGCCACAAACACAATATTTCTTACTTATTCCCTCCTCTTGTGAATCCTTTCCTTCCCCTTCTCATTTTCAGTTTTGCAGCACACATCTGTATGCCTCTGTGGGGTTTCCATAAATGTCCTGCTTTTCCAGGGCTGCTCCAGGTTGCTCTGGAAATGTCAGGTAAGAAACAAAGAGGGACACTTTCTCCAGACAGAGCTAGATAAGTTCAGAAGCTGAATGATGGGTGGAAAGGATATAAAGCTCAGAAGGAAATAAGAGACTGTTGTAGATTTGGGACATACTTGAAAAAAAAAACAGTAATGTTCAATGGGGCACATCAAAAATCAAGAGTGAAAAAAAATTTCACAGGCTTATCTGTCTATGCCTAGTATCTGTAACTAGTCTTAGCATCCTAATGTATCCCAAATGATCAAGGACATCCCTTTTCCTGACATCACCTTCTTCTTCGTCCCTTTCTGTGGAGAATAGACCTCACCTAATCAACCTTCAAAGAAATGCTCCTTGGAAAAAGGCTATCGTAGCCAGATGTGCTGGCACACACCTGTAATTCCAGCATTCAGGAGGCTGAGGTAGGAAGCCTGGTGTGAGTTCAAGGTCAGCCTGGGCTACATGTCAGTTCAAGACCACCCTCAACTATGCAGTAAGACCCTGTCTCACTGTGTTTGCAATCAGCATTCTTATCTCTGGATCCCCACACTACTTTCCTCTATGGCTGTTTAACAGGATTCTTTCCTCTAAGGATGCTTAACAGATCCTTAGTCCTGGCATATATGTATCATACATCATACACATGCTGAGGACCAAACCCAAGACCTTAAGCATGCTAAACACATGCTGTACCCTGAGCTTCATCTCCCCCACACACACTGTACTTATTAACCTGATCATATTTGGCCTAACTTCAACTCTTGGACGGGTGATTTACAGAAAAAAAAAAAAAAAAACACAAAACCCAGCACTTTAGTTCATGGCAAGCTCCCCAGAAGCAGGGAAACTGTTTCATTCTACTCTACAGTCTGCACAGAACTCAGGTCAGTACACAGAAGGCCCTCAGTAAAAGTCAGCTAAATGAATTAATGACAGATTTTGGTATTAAAGTTCTCATCCAAAGTGAAGCTATTTCAGAAGCAATATGGAACCTAAGAGTCAGGAGCTCTGGAAGTCGTACTTGTATTTGCAGTGGTCCACAAGATGGACATCTTTAGCCGCTGGTTTTCCCAAGGTATCCTTTAAATGAAAAAGTCACTGGTATTAGTAGTGGTAGTATTATGGGCAACCCATGTGCAGCAAGCACTGTTAAACTTCTCATGAACATAAACTTGTTTAACCCTCACAATAAACACACTCAGTGGGTTATTATTCTCATTAACTAGATGAGAAGTCACGGTTTCCAGAAGTTAAGAAACTTGTTCAGGTTTATGTGACATTAGGGTTTTAACCCAAGTCTGTCTGACCAGAACTTAAGCTCACTTGAAGCCATGCTGCTTCATGCTTTGAACTCGGGAGAGCACAATCTGCAGCCCATTTCCAGTGGGTAAATTACATACAGAGGTCACAAGCACTGGTTGCTGGGCTTAGGAGGAGAACACACACACACACACACACACACACACACACACAAATTTTGTTGGGCATGGTAGGCATTTTTTTTAAAAAAATTAAATTAATGTCAATATTTATGGCTGGCAGGATTACTTCTTGCAAAAATCCAAGCTTCCAATTTTTCTTGGAGAAAATAAAATAAAATACAATGCAAGATCTGAAAACTGGGCCAGGGATTTAGCTCAGTGGTTCAGTGGCCTGCCTCGCAAGCACAAAGAACCAAGTTTGATCCCCGGTACCAAACAAACAAACAAAACAAAACAAACAAAAAAGATGTGAAAACTATTCCCATTTGGTAGCAACAAACTGCAGCTATTAAGTGTTTTCTCTGGCTCACTCCTTGCGTTCACCTGCCGACACCTGCGGGCAATGAACTGAAAAACCCTACATACCTTCTGTCCTCTCTGGGAGATAGGCAGCTTGACAAGGGCAGTACCTTTTCTTGGCTTTTGCTGCCTCTAAGTAAATACTAACAACTCCTATGCTAAATGCATTTTTATGTACTTTTATTTAACAGTTTTTCAAACTCATTTGCTCATAACTATCAAACAATACATACATTAAATTGTTTCCCAAGAAATTCCACCTGATGGAACAGTTATGTGTGTGCCACCGGTCGTTCAAGCTGGTGGGAGCAAGTTCAGAGGACAGAGACAGACTCCAGACTAAAAGACTCAGTTTCTGGCTTCACCTTGGAATCACTTGGGATGTTTTAAAGAAATGAAGATTCTTGGCCTTCCAGCCATATATTCATTGATTTACCAGTTAAGCTCTCTGGTTTTACTATTATAGCCAGGGTTAAGAACTATTAGTTTAAACCAGGGTTTGGCAAACTACAGCCACAACCCACCACTTAGGTTTTGTAGAACCCATGGACTAAACATTTTCACATTTTCAAAAAAAGCAAAAGAAAAAAGCTTTACGTATGAACTGTGAAAACTACATTAAATTCAAATTTCAGTGACTATAAATAAAGTTTTTTTTAGGAAAGAGGCACGCTCATTTGTTTACCTGTTGCCTACGGTTGCTTTCACCCTGCCACAGCAGAGAATACTAAGACAGAGGCCACAAGGCCTGCACAGATGAAATCTTTACCACCTGGATTTCCCAGAAAAAGCTAGTAATACTGTAGCCAGAAAAGCAATGTGTGTTTGAAATAGAAGAATTTACATCTAGGCTAATACTGTTTTGTGGAACTTGCTCTACATTCATCTCACCACGGAGAGGAAACCTAATTTCAGATTCTACCCAGGTTGCAACATTCTTTGAGTGAGAATGTTCATTGCTGTAGTTCTATTCAGGTGTTTGCTGATTACTTTCATAGATTTCCAGGCTTGGTTTTTGGTGTACTCTGCATCGACAAGTTTTGGATTTTTCCGCGATAGAAGAATAAGAGGATCCCGTTCTGGACTTGTCCTATAAAAGAAACAAACACAAGACGTACAGCTATGTGGCCTGTACCATACACTGTTCCCATAACTGAAAGGAGAGCAACACCATAACCCAAGCTCTGTCTTTCTGCACAGATGGATACATCACTGGTTTCTGAATTATCCAGAAACTCCCCGTCCCTGAAGGTTGCAGGGGGGCATCCCTGTTATCACAGCACCTCAGTGGTACGTGCTGTCTCTCCACGCACCCTTCAGGAATAGGGAGTGTCCGGCTTTTCTTAGTTGGCATATGGTCTCAAAGGGTGTGTTGTTCTGGTCTCTATGGCTGTATCCCATGGAAGGTTCATGTAGCCTTTTCTTCTAGGAAGGTTCATGTAGTCTCATGTTCACAGCTACATGACTAGGTAATTACCACTCACTGAAATAGCTATATGACCTTTGTTGCACATGCTCTAGAAAGTCCAGATGATGTTTACATTAGAAAACACAACAAAACTAGAAACCAAAGGATTCAAAATCTGAAGCTGTTCGTGAAAGAAGTCCTAGCTACGGTCTAAAGAGCAGAGGGTCTTGACACGTGAGGAGTTGTGGATCCCCCCAAAAAATGATAAATGCACATCTCCCCATTTAATTTCAAGGAGGCCCTAAAACTCCTGCAGCCCGGCTATGAACCCCAAGTTCAGAATCTATGATCTCAAGAGCTGGCAATCAGAAAAGTTAGGAACAGTAAGCAATGGGTAGAAGGCCCACACGCAATCTAAAGTCCCCTGCCAAAGTGATAAACAGTCATCACAAAACTGCAAAAGCCTTCTCCTCACCTCACCCAGCCCCTTCCCCTCTTTCTGTAGTACTGGGGATTGAAGCCAGGCCTTTGGACGAAGCTACATCCTCAGCTCTTTTTTATTCTTTATTTTGAGACAGGATGCCATTAAATCTCTAAGTTGCCCAGGATCAGCTGGAACTTGTGCTCTTCCTGCCTCAGGCTCCCAGAGTGCTGGGATTACAGATGTGCACCACCACGCCTGTCTTCCCTTTCATGGTCCTTTCGGTTCATTTGTCCCACATATACTCACTGTGCACCCACCTACCAAGTCCTGTTCATGGCACCAGGGAGAGAGGATACTGAACAACAGTGTTCTACTACCTTTTCCATTTTCTTCTTCTCTCTCCTTTCCACCTCCCTCTCCATGTTCCCTGGCCTCTGTCTGTCTATTAAGCAGTGTTTGGCAGCCATGTGGTCAAAGGGCTTAGGGGTACAGGACAAAGGCAGTAGGAGACCTGGGGATGATGCCCGAGCTGCGGTAACCAGCAGGGTGACTGTGATATCCGCCAAGTGACTCTGAGGAAATCGTGACCCAGCAGACAACCTCTGCTCTGCTCAGTACCACACGGTCAGTGTCCAGCACAATTAGGCACTCTGCACATCTGCTGAATGACCGCAGGACAAGCTTTACTTCTTTGAATTTCAGTTCAGTTCAGAGCGATTCAGGCAAAAACTGAATTCTTCTTTAGTGTAAAATTCTGTGATTCCACCTTTATTCCTCAGTTATCTTAGGTTTCTCTTTCAACCACAGGGTTGAAAGAGTTCGTCATACTCTCAAGATTGCTTATATTTTACACATGCTTAGAAGAGTACCTTTGCAAGAGATTAGAAAAGATAATCACCTTGATCCTCGGAAATACGCTGTAGAATTTTTCTTTTTCCATGGCCACTGTGCTGCTGACCTAAAAATACAGATTTTGATTAGTTCCTATCTTCAATTACATAAGGATATGTTCCAACCATTTCCGAAGATTAGCTCAGGGCTTCTTATTCACCCATTCATTCACTCAACTATTTGTGTGAGACTGGGTCTCACTATGCAGTCCAGGCTGCCTCAAAGTCATGGGGGACCCTTCTGCTTCAGCTGCTGGGATCACAGGCATGTGCCACCATACTTGACTGTATTTTTAAATAAATCCGATGAAGGCCAAACAAAAGAACAATTCTGAAGGACACCATGATCCCTTTTGTTAAGATTTCACTGTTCTGGGGTTTATTAGAAACATCAACAAATCTACTGCCCCATGAATAAATTAACATTAACTTACTGAAAGAAAAGCTCCTAGCCAGGGATTTAGCTCAGTGGTGCCACCGCCTGCCTAGCAAGCGCAAGGCCCCAAGTTCGAGCCCTGTTACCAAAAAAGAAAAGAAAAGAAAAGCTCCTACTCTAGATGGCATGTTTAGGACAAATGAGCAAGACCCTGTTTCAATGTTTAAAAAAATATTCAGGAAGGGATAGGGATATAGCTTGATGTGAAGGTCCTGGGTGCTATCTCAAGCAAATAAATAACCAACCAACCAACCAACCCAAACATTGAAGGCCAATGCAAAAGACTAATTTTAAGAGGAAAAAAAGTTAACAACTTCTCCCACCCCTTAAAATTATGTTCAAAACCAAAAGCAAGTAAGCGAAATCGGATTCAATGTCCAGGGGCCTCAGGTGGTACTAGCTGCTCTAGTAGAGAGGACAATGTGCTCAATAACCTGGACTTCAAGCCTGGGTTTGCCCCTGACATTGGGCAAGTCACTTGACTTTCTCTGGGTCTTCATTCCCATGTCTATCAAATGAACAGCTGAACAAAGACGTTTTCCAGATCTAGTTCTACAAAACATAAGACTTAGTAACATTTTTAAAATTTGCCAAATTACAGCTGCTGGAGAAGAGACCTATATTTGCCCACAGGATTTTAACTGCTACTAGGGATTGGGCCCCATGTGTTTCTTCAGGAAGAAGACATATTCTTAATCTTTGAATCTCCAGCTACACTTGTAGAAGTGACAAACATTTACAGAAACTGGAATTTAATTCTTGCTATCCTTACAGTCCAGAGAAGACTTCCATGGGCTGTGTTCTAGCACCAATGCTGATTTTTGGGTCTTCTGGTTTTGATTTTGTTTTTTGTGGTACTAGGGCTTGAACCCAGGGCTTTGCACCAAGCTATCCCCCCACTCCTCTACCCCTTCTTGACACACACACATAAATCAATAACTTTCCCATGCTGGGCTAGAATTTATGATCCTCCTGCCTCCCCCTCCAGAGTGCTGGGAGTACAGGCCTGTACCATTATGCCTGGCCTAATTAAGCACCAATGCTTCCTGACTCCTTTCTGTAAAATGCAGCTGGGTACAGCATACCTTCCACTTATATCCTGAATCATGCCAGCAAGGAGTTGTTTAACACATTAAAGCATGTTTCAGTCATAAAGAAAGAGGATCTGAAATCAGCTTACACTTAATTTTGTTTTTAACTTTTTTGAGACAGGGTCTTATTATGTAGCCCAGGCTGGCCTTGAATTCCCAGTGATCCTTCTGTGTCAGCCTTCTGAGCTGGGAGTGGAGTTGTGCGCCAGCATCCCCAGCCCGGAGTAAGCAGGTACTTGAGATAACTATAAGGCTATCATGCCCCCTCATCCCTGTCTGAAGGATTCCGCTATCAATTATCAAGTACGTGTACGTTACTCCAAGGAATTTTCCATCCTCTCTCACAACATGGTCATTTTTTAAAGTACAGGAAAATTTTTAAATATATTAAAAACCCCCTTATCCTCCCCACAGAGGGACTGCAGACAGCTTAAGAAAAACTCTTCTGCTGTATTCATGGACATGCAAATACTTTTATAGACACTCAAACTTGCTTATGCTAGAAACAATTTTTTACCCTTTATTATTTTTAAATTTTTATGGTTTGGTACTGGGGATCGAACTCAGGACCTTGTGCTTGCAAGGCAGGCACGGTACCACTAAGCTAAATCCCCAGCCCACTATCCTTTATTTTTAACTTAAAAGTCAGTTATTGTAAAGTAAATGTTGCCTCTATTCTACTCATTTCAAGAAAACCCACAAAGGGGAAAAATAAAACCTCTCTATGGGACCTACCTTACCAGATCTTCTCTGAAGAGGTCCCATCGTCCAAGACCTGTAGGATAAATTGGCCAAACAGCAGGTCCTCCTTCCCAAAATGTCCAAGCGGGATACATGATATCGTGGTACTCTGATGTCTTCATCAGAAACAGAGAGGCCATTATAAATAAGTCTTGGAACAGAGCAAGAAGAGGCAAACTGCACTCATGCAGGATACGGACAAGGCGTTGCTATAATACCAACTTGCCAAAGATACAGTTCCTCTTTTCTGCAATGCCCACATCTATACATTAAAATACAAAAGTTAGCCGGGCGTGGTGGTGCATGCCTGTAATCCCAGCACTTGGGAGGCTGAGGCAGGAGGATCACTGTAAATTCGAGACCAGCCTGGGCTACATAGTGAGTTCCAGGTCAGTCTCAAGTACATAGTGAGACCCTGTCTCAAAAAACTAAAAACCAAAAAACAAAAACACAAAAGTGGGCTCGGGATTTGGCTCAGTGGTTCCACTGCCTACCTCACAAGTGCAAAGGCCTGAGTTCAATCTCCAGTACCAAACAAACAAACAAGAACACAGAAGTGACTATAAGATTAAAATTCACAGTCTCACTGAATCCTAGACTTTAGAATCGTATTAAAGCTCAACCTTTTTAGTTCCCAAAAATTCTGTTTTTTCTAGAGTATATATATCATTCAGATTTTTAGTTTATGGATATAATATGCCCAATTGTGAATAATCACAAAGTTCCCTCCTTGTTTAATTGCTATTACCCTTGGAGTTTTTAGTGCCTTGCTTGTTCTTATTTCTTAGCATTGGTTTTTTTTTGGGGGGGATTGTGATGGTATGGGGGATTGGACTAGGAGCTTTTACACAGAGCTATAACCCCAGGCTTCTTCTGCTCTGGTATTTTTAGGCAGGGTCTCATTAAGTCACTAAGATGCCCAGACTGCGCTGGAACTTGTAATCTTCCTGTCTTGGGCTCCCAGAGTGCTGAGATTATAGGCACGTGACGCTGCACCCAGTCTAGTGGCTGTTTTGCGAGCAAGAACTAGGAAATACAGTGAGATGGTGAAGAGTGTGGCTCTGGAGACAGATCATGAGTCTGAAATGGACTCCATGTCTTTAGAGCGCTAAGTGAGTTAATCTCTCTATACTTCAGTTTCCTTGTTGTGCAATTATTGAACATAATATCAATAATGCCATTTATCTATCTGCCACGACCACTCCAGTGGAGTCTGCGTGACAATGCCGGTCACCTGGCAGAAACCAGACCAGAGGTATCGTCCCCACGGGGTTAAGCCTCCTGGAGGTCCTTGGCACACACCGCATGCGAAGTCAGCCGTGAAGAGAATAGCTGGCCTCTCTGCCTGCAGTTTGGGGACATTGGGTTCATTTATAATTCTGTTCTATTTTGTCTTTATTACTATTTGTTCATTATCTGTACAATTGCATTCTGGGCCCAGGAAAGGTCAGGAACAATTAGATGTTCCTAGAGATGGGGAGGTATTGAGGCACAAGAGGACGAGCGGCCAAAGTGCTGACCCTGAGCCCCGGACTGTGAAGTCCTGAAGGTGATCCTGAAGGTGACATGCTGAAACCAGTCCTTTGTTTTACAAACTTCCCCTTCTGACTGCGTATAGGTGTGGTCTTACCTTGACTTAATGGTCTTAGCTTTTGTGATGGTATATAGGTGTGGTCTTACCTTGACCTTGTGGTCTTAGTTTTTACAGTACTATTGTCTATCTTTCTCATGCCTGCCTGTGACTGGAATCACTCTTGAGGTGTGCCCTTGAAACTAGTAAATAAACGCCTAGCGTTAGAAATAAAATTGCAGCAGCATTTGCAAACTTCACCTCGGTGTTGAGTGCTTTTGTCTGTCTGTCATCGCCGAACCTGCTCCCACCTTTCAGAGAACCTGTATCTCCTCGTGAAATCCCGTGTTTGCTGCCCTACGGTCGGTAGCATCTATCAGCCTATTTTGAATATAAATATCTTAACACATGTAAAAACTTGGGACAGCATCTGGCACATAGCAAGTACTCCATAATTGTTAGGTAGGGTTACGTAACACTGTGGCACTATTCAGTTCATACTGGTTGATCAACAAATCCCTCATGTGTTAGTTATTTTCTCTCATTGCTGAGACAAAATACATGATATCCAAAGTTATAGGGAAAAGGTTTATTCAGCTCACAGTTCGTAGACGTTTAAGTCCATAATTGGCTGGCTCCAAGGCAGGGTGGCACATGGCAGGGGGGCAACAGTTCATGCTGCCAAGAGACAGCAAAAGCAATGAGGGACTGAACAGCGTCCTTCTGACCCCTTTATCTTACTCAGGCTACTTAGGGCCCATAGCACTCACACCCTTAATCCTAGGCCCTTGAGCCCAGCATTGCACTATGCATTCCAGCGTCACACACTTTAGATCCAGCCACCTCTGAAAAAGCCCCACATGAGACTGCATGAAGCTTTGGGGCAACATCTAGACATAAACCATAATGGTTGGCTATTCATTGACAGGGGTCAGAAGGGCTAATGGGCAGAATGGGGAGAAAATGTGTTACCACAAATCTTTTGAAGGAAGTCTGAAATCATTTGTTGCTTTTTATAGTCATGTGGATTAAATATCAGGCCACTGACAAACCCTTAACTCTACTGTTTCTTCATTGAGATGACAGGTACAATATGCTGTTTGACAACTCTTAAACTTTAAAAATATGTGATTCATCAAGCACTACCTACCTAACAGGTGTTACTGGAAACTGTACACTTAACTACAAAGTTGACAGGCTAAAATCTCTTGGAAACCAGGAGTCACTGATTTAAAAAAAGTAAAACGGAAGCAAAAAATGAAAGGAAGGTTAGCATACTGATGGTCATAGTTCATCACCTACAGAAACAACATATTAAGTAATACACACAAAGACCTTACTGACTTACATGGGAGCCTCTATTTGTTCTTCTGGGAGACTTTCACGACAAACAATGGGACCAAGCACATTTGAGAAATGAGGCTAATCATAGGCAACACAACACAAATGTGGCCTCAGCCCACTTGCAACACAGGAAATAAACAAGTCTGGAGAGAAAGTAAACTATGATAAAGAAAAAGCGGGAAATAAAAAGCTCTCTGCTTTGGAAAAACCAAATCAGAGATGGTGTTCCTGTTCCCAGCTGCAAAGGAGTTTCCTACATTTACGCTTCCCCCATAGCACCTTCCATCTACTGTCTTCTAACCTCCCCATCTCCACCCGCAACAGCTTTCATATCTGGTCTCTGGGGAACCAGGGCCCATCCCTACCAGTGCACATCTGCACACTTTAGACCGACAAGATATTCACTGTCCCAACGTCCCTAAGCCTACAGGTGTGTCCGAGCTACTCCTATCCTCCACAGTAACTATCACAATTCCTCTGCGATACACTGTTTGGATACAAACCAGGTGGCAATATCTACACCTTCAGGTTCACTTTTAGCTCTACTGAGCCCTTGGGATATAGGCACGGATAGGATGGATAATATCTAGCACTATAACTGATATCTCACTCTAGGAGATCAAAAAATTTTGTTTGCAATGTTGGAGATCAAACCTGGGGCCCTGCATATTCCAGGCAAGCATTCTACCTCCCTAGCTCTATAAATATTTTTGAGTGAAGGTGTTCCCTAACTCCAAGCTCATGTCCTTTCTTGGATGCCTCCCACAGCCTCTGGAGGATCTTAGAGCCCTATCTGAAGGCCTTGCGGGTTCTTCAGGCCTCTTGGTCCCTAGGTTCCACCCCATCCCTACAGGCACTTAAGCAAACTTGCATTACTTTCACATCCTCACTTTATCTCCTTAGTCTTACCGTCCAACTACTGGGAACTAACAGGTGCACAGATCCATTCCTGGACCTCGGGTGTTATCACCACTACCCACCAAACTCTACCTCAGGACAATAATCCCTTGCTAATATCCTAGGGGACCCCTTCTACCTCCCACCCCTATGTGGCTCTTCTTGTACTTACCTTACTGAAGGAGAAGACTGGGATGGTAGGCTCCATCCATCTAGGAACTTGGGGATAATCGCGTACATTGATCACCATCTCCATGTCAGGGAGTTGCCTAATGACTTCCAAAATGAAGTGCTCAACACCACTGCACCTGCCAACCAGAAAACAGTCACCAGGGCAGTTTCTGCAGGCTCTAGGACAAAGAAGCGTTTCAATCATGTCTTAAAGTGACACAAGCCAGTGTTCAGATCATCAGCCTACTACAGTCTCCTGAAAGCAATGCTTCTAAAGGGTCTAATCCTTTTTTCCATAATGTGTAAGCTATCATTCATAGCTAAGATGCTCCAGCTTATAACACAATAACATTTTCCATATAAATCATCTCAACTTTGAAGGAAATATTATTGCCACTTCTACCACTTCTCTGTTCATTTCCAGTTTTTTCTTTATTTCCTTTATGTGAAATAGTCTAGTTCATAGGCAAGGTACACATTTTGGTAGGAACCAGAACAGCTAATTTTCTCACTGTGTCCCTTGGGCTTTGTTCCTCAGAAACATACTGCCATACTTAGGATCTGGGATGTCCCCTGGAAGCCCTGTGTGTTAGAGGCTCTATCCTCAGCGTGGTGCTTTTGGCAAGTGGTAGACAACCTATGTAAGAGGCAGAGCTTCACGGGAGGCTAAGCCATGGGGACAGCCCTTGAAGGAGGCTGTGGGACACGAGGATGGTGTCCTGCTCTCCATTTTTCCTCCTAGCTGCCATGAGGTGACACCATGTGCTCCCACCTTGATGCACTGCCTTGCCACAGGTCCAGATTGATGGGGCCTGGGGAACGTGGACTGGAACATCAGCACTGTCAGCCAGAGTAAACCTTCCCTACTTCTAATTAGTCCAAGGATTTTGTTATGGTAACAGGAAGCTGATTAACACAGACACCATTTTTATTTCCACATTAAGTCTCAATAATTTATGAAGAAAGAAAATCTTCATTGTCTACTGTCTTCAACTTAAAACCAGGACACTATTAAAATTAGTTTTGCTAGGGAGGAAAAGTGTTTACATGATCATGAAGACTATCACTCTGCTTTCTGACTGAACCCCCTGGAATGCTCAGTTTTTTGGCTGTTGAGATGTGGGCCTGTTATGTAGTTCAGGCTGGCCTTGAATTCACTATGTAGCTGAAGCTGGCCTCAAACTTGTGGCAATCCTCCTTCCTTGACCTCCCAAGTGCTGGAATTATAAGCATGTATCGCCACACCAGGCTTCTGAGGATTTCTTGACAGAAAAGAAACACTGATGGTTTAGCTTGTTTCTGCCCCATCCTTTGAGGTCCTCACTATTCGACCTGTGGGCAGCATTCTAAGGCTTAATCAGAATTATCTGGCACCATGGAAATGACTAGTTTAAAATAATTTTATAAGCCAGGTATAATGGTACATTCCCAGAATCCCAGCACTCAGGGAGCTGAGGCTAGGGGATCACAAGTTCAGGGACAGCCTAGATTTCATAATAAGACAGTATCTTAAATTAATTAAAAATTTTAGGCTGGGGATTTAGCTCCGTGGTGCCGCCACTTGCCTCGCAAGTGCAAAGACCCAAGTTCAATCCCCAGTACAAAAAAAAGAAAAAGAAAAAGAAAAATTTATATATAGGGAGATAACTACAAAATATCAAGGTTAATAAACATAGATACTCAGCTGTATTAGTGAAAAAGAAATGTCAATGATATTAGATGATGATTTTACCAATCAAATTGACAAAGATCAGTAAGTCTAGGCCAGGTATGTGGGTACACACCTGTAATCCCAGCATTCTGAGAGGCTCAGGCAGGAGAATCTGCAAGTTCCAGCTCAGCCCAAATAACTTAGTGACTTAGAGACACTCAATAAATAAATACCTATGTTTCTTTCCCTCCTTCAGTCCACCTCACGCTGCCAGATCTCATCAGCCTGTGTTGTGCAGCTACTATAGCCAAGGAAGGAAGAGAAGAAGGGGCAGAGCAACAGCCAGTAACAGCCTCATGAAGAAAAGGAGACAGGCTTTGCTAGAGGACCTGGCAAGAAAAATTCCCAGGCCAGGAGAACTTATTATTACTGCATTTTGTATTCCCCCTGAAATGTGAGAAGGGATTTGCTGGTTAGTCCCTTCAATTGGCTTCTAAGAGCAGTATCAAGTAGCCTGTGGGTAATAATGTCAGACGATAACATCTGCCTGTCAAGTCTTACCTGGAGGGAAACATGCAGTCATCTTCTCGGTATAATCTGTTCTTAATGATCTGATAGTGGGTTCCTAACTTTCGGCTAACTACCTCTGCCATCATCTTCCTGGTGATGCCACCTCGGAAAGGAGTCAGATCTTCTTCTATGACACTGCGAAGAAATGGGAATTCTTAGGGAAAGCAGGCCAGGAGAGTAAAACCACTCCATCTCCTTCCAGAGTGCTCTTGCAGAGTACTAGAAAGAATGGTGGATGGGGCTGCGGCTGTACCTCAGTGGGAGGGCACTCACCTAGCATGAAGTTCTGGGTTCACTCCCCAGTACTGGGGAGGCATGGGTCAAGAGGGCATGAACAAGGAACTATTCCCCAGAAACACCATGTGTGATCGAAAAACATCAAACTCAGCAAAGTCACAAAAAGTAAGGACAAGTCTATATGTCTTCTTCCCTCTATCTATTGCCCCTGCCTGGATTGTCTGATCCAAATTCTCCATTGATGTTCATGCTACATCCATGTCCCAGCCCTGCAGCCCTACCAACATCCTTTCTATGAACATACCCCACAGAGCCATTCGTGCCTCACAGTTAAGCCCTGCCTCCCTTCCATATACACATACCCAAGAAGCCTGCTAGTAAAAGCCAGAAAATAAACTATTTTGTATCTCTTGTAAAGCTCAATACAGAATAAATTTTCAATAAGACAAAGCTTCTGTACAAAGGGAGGGGAGGGGGCTTGAGGGGGTAGAATGGGATAAAATAAAATGTATTTTAAAATAAGTATCACAAGCATCAGATGAAATTTTTTTTTTTTTTTTTTTTACCAAACAGTGAGATAAATTTTTTTTTTTTTTTTTTTTTGCACCAGGGATCGAACTCAGAACCTTGTGCTTTCAAGGCAGGCATGATGCCACTGAACTAAATCCCTGGCCCATCAGGTGAATTTTTCAGGCATCAAAACAACAGGCTAGGGAGCTACAAGGACTCTGTTCAGCTGGTGAGGAATCTGAGGACCAGAGAAGGGTAAATGGCTGGCCACAGTGGTAATTGGCGAGAACTGTGACTAGAATCCAACTCTATTTTCAATGTACATAGTCATCTTTGTTCTACACCAAGTCCCAGACCTACCTTCATACTTCAAAGACAATCAATAAGAAAGTATTAGATTCAATGTTAAGTCTGTTCATTCCTTCAACAATATTTATTCAGTGCACTTACTAAGGGCCAGTACCAGGGATACAACACAGACACAGACCTGGGCTAGGCAGCGTGGTACACAACTGGAACTCCAGCACTCTGGGAGGCTGAGGCAGGAGGATCTGCAAGTTCCAGCCCAGCCCAGCAAGACCTTGCCTCAAAATAGAAAATACAAGAAGGGCTGGGGATATAAATCAATGCGAAGGCCTTAGGCTGAGGAATCGTGGAAGGGAGAAAAAAAAAAAAAAGACAAAGACCAAGACCTCAGGAAGCTTTCTGTAAATGGGAAAAAGAGCCATGGACTAAATCTCACAGGGAATAGTCACAGTGCCAAGACCAAGGGGCCTCTCCTATTCCAAGGAATCTCCATTCCAAAGAATTAGGAGAACCACCTCAGACACCTTTGACTATCTGCAGAAATGCTTGGCTCTAACCACTGCAACGTAGGTCTCTCAGCTATCTCAGATATTTTTGTGACAAGAATTTAGCTCTCAATGACAGATCAAAGAACTCACCCCTGGTAGCAGCTGCAGTTTTGACTTGAACATGGTTCATAATTCTCCAAAGCCCTGTTAATTTGGTCAATAAATACTTTCCATTTTGAACCTTTAAAAAGTGAAAGGAGAGTTAACAAAATACCCATGAGCATTTTTATTTGCTAGCGGCAAGCAGGCTGGCAGGAAGCCAGCCGGCACCAACAGACTCCCAACTACCAGAAATCCCTTTCCCATGCCACTAGTGGAAACGAAACCCTGGAAGATTCTTTCTAAAAATCGTCAGCGCTTAAATCAAGTCTGCTCCTCTGCCTGGGCCATCGGGTGTCCAAGAAATTGGAGATGCAAGCTGAATGCGCGGGCCCCAGAAGCTAGCAATAAACAGGACTGTGACACAGGTTGTCACCTTCTACTCAAATTAAACTCCATAAAGAGGATCGTTTAATAGCCACGGACACTAACCCTCCTCCGTCTCTTCTGGCAACACACACGCGCACCCCTTCCCCAAGGGCGCCAGTGGCGACCCGGGGACTTCCCACTCCCCGCAAGCTCCCAATCCGGAGGACGGCAGCTCTGCGCTAAGCGGCTACAGCATCCTCTGGGCTCTAGCCGCGCGTGGAGAGCCTCCTGACCCGGAGCCCCGACTGCGGGCCCCACCTGACTCCTTCTGGCGGCCCTGCACGGGGGCTAGGAGTAGCAGCAGCAGCCAGAACAGACACCGAGAGCTCTCCACCAGATCCATCTCCGGCAGACCCACTGCGGAGTCCCAGGACTGCGCGACAGAACCGCCGCCCCACACAAAGATGGCGGCAGAATGAGGGCTGCCCCACACAAAGATGGCGTTCCTATGCAAAGATGGCCGCCGCGCTAGCCCCGCCCCTCCCCACGCTGGAGGCGGGGTATTCCTAGGAAACTGGGCGACTGGAAAGTAGAAGGGGAAATGCATCCGATAATGGTAATTCTTTACATTTTGTAGCATATTGAAAACATTTTATTCTTTGTAGCCAGAAAAACCGAGGATCAGAAAGGATGTGTTTCTTGCTTCAATCAGTGGAACAACCAAGACTTGACACAGGAGCCTAGGCTGGACCACTGTACAACATCCAACTGCTTCTTACTAAATACTGTAACTTAGATTTGTTAAGCATGTATACACATTATTGAACTCCAAAGAGTTGCAAATAGTGTAACACAGTCCCTTTGTAATAGGAATTTATAACAATTTGGGTGATACACCATGAAGAAAAAAAAAATCAACGGTGTTAAATATGGGGAACAATTGTTTTGACTGAATTGCAATAGACCAGACCAAACCAGAATGAAGTCACTTGACATAGGTGCTAGCGAATAGGCCAGTTAAAAAAGAACAAAACAAAAACAATAGATTAACGGCAGCCAGTCAGACAGAGCCCTGTTCACCTGGGACTGATAAGGAAGTTCCCTTAGTGTTTTGGTCTCACCTTGTTGAGCCTTTTTCTGCTTGTACTCCCTATCTCTGCTCAGATCTTTGGCATGTGACAGTGGACACTCCTTTGAGCATAACCCTTTACATAGTTACTTCCTGTCCCTTTACCTAGCATTCTAAATTCTAAAGAGAAGCAGCACCTAAAAATGTAAACTGCTAAATAATCTTTCTTGACTGGCATTGTGGTGTATACCTGCTATCCCAGCTACTAGGAAAACTGCACAGGAGAATTGCAAGTGGGAGGCCTGCCTGAGCGATTCAGTGAGAGCCATTCTCACTAAAAAAAAAAAAAAAAAAAAAAAAGG